GCAGATGTATCATGATAGTTAATTGCTGGGTTGAATGTGAAAATTAAGGTTAGATCAATCAGTCACTGATGTCAAATGTTCATTAATATATTGCTCTGTTGTTGTTATATGTGTTTATTCATAAACTTTCTACAGAAGTTGTACTGAATGACCCTTTATTTCTTTCTTATTGAGAACATGACGGCACGTTGCAACGTGACTGAATCCGTCGGGGAAAACAATCATTTTTTTTTATTTTTTTTTTCATCCTTTCATACAGGGTTGGGCGCCATCACACTGTGAATAACAGAGCAGACAGATATTCTTTCTTTCTCTAATTTTACGACGACCATACCAAATGTCTCTTTTTCTTTTTTTCTTTTTTGTGTCGTCGTTATCGTGAGTGGCAACAGAAATTTCTTCTTGCGATCATCAAGCACGTTGCAATAGCAAAAAAAAGATGAACACAATGCCTGACACCGTCATTAACATGCAACAACTAGATATCAACAATGCTCAAACGAATCCAAATAGATATAGGCGAGAAAGGATGACTTTTCGCATTTATCTTCGTACTTTCTGGATGGATTATCTTTTACTAGCTATATTGGGAGCACTTGCTCTAGGTATCAATATGCTTGGACCTGCATCGAATCGTGTTTTTCCTGTTTATTTCCGTGATGGTGAAATAGTTAATCCCGAATTTAGTTATCCATTTAGGAAAAATATTATTCCATCATGGTTAGCTGGCCTCTTAGCATTTATTGTTCCGTTTATATTTATTATGTTAATGCAAATACGTCTAAGAAGTTTGAAAGATGTTAATACAGCAACAATGGGTCTAATTTTTTCATTAGTATCTACTACTGTTTTTCAAGTATTTATCAAATGGCTTATTGGTGGTTTCAGACCATACTTTTTTTCTGTTTGTAACCATTTTTCTTCTAATTATTATAAAGATCTACGTAAAGTTGGTAATGTTTGTATCGCATCAAAAGGTGCTCCATAGATGTGTCTATCACCATTCCATTGACCTTTTCTTGAAACACTCAGTGAATTTTCTAAATGATCAAGATGATAATCAAAACCAAGATCTGCTTCTAATCTTGGTAATGGTATATGATTAAATCTGTAATCCCAAATGCTAGCATATTGAAAACGATATGATCCAAAAGCAAATATTATTCCAATGATTGATCCTGCTAAAAT